ACTCTCACATAAGAATATAAACTTGATGTGTGCATAAACACCCAAATGACACTTGTGCAAACATACAAAATAAAATTCACAAACATATATACAGTTAGTTGTGTATATACATATATGCAAGTGATTTCATATGTGTGTATGCATGAATTTTCACATTAAAAGGAAGTTATTTCACTTTAAAAGGAAGTTGTTTAATTTCAACGTAAAAGTCCTTTGAGTGTAATGAACAAGATTATTATTTGTCATGAATCAGGTTATTGCAAACCTTAAGAAACAGAAATAATGTGATTATTTGAGGAATTACATCTGTTGAAATATGAAAATAGATTATGAGAATTCTAAAAAATAAATAAAAAGGTAATGCAAAGGAATGCTCCTGCAAAATTAAAGGTTTATTATGCAATTAAATTATTGGAAATGTTATTATGTTTTAATAAATATAAAGTTGCTTAAGTAATCATTTTGAATAAAATATGTTTGTCTAATATTAGTTTTTTATGTTTGTTTTATTATTGGTGTCACTATTCGTCAAGGGTTATGATACACACTTATGTCCAGTAGGGGGCAGGAATTAAACAGGCTAATGCACCAAAATGCTGGATGCCAGCTGCTGTAAAAATATAAGTAGTAGTTATTAAACACAAAAGGAGTGTCCTGATAATATATATAGTTTTTCCATGGGGGTTAACTTGACCAACATGATGAGCAGAGGCTTTTAATCAGTGTTTTTTTTGTTTGTTTTTTGTTTTTTTGTTTATTGTATATGCTAAATAATTAACAATCAAAATGATACCAAAATCTTGCAATTTTGACACCCACATTGTAAAAACATATAAAAAGCATAATAATTATAAAAATGTAAAAAACAAAACAAAAAGACTATAGGCTACATTAACATTTGCAATAGAATAGAGGAGTTTAGTTTGAGTATACATTTATATTTATAATTCTGGTTGCTTTTTGAACGTATTTTAAGGGTTCTATCTGTCCATTTATATTTGTGTATGTAATTACCTAATTAAATGAAAAGGTTTTAAATAAAAATATTTCTTATTTTGAATAGTCTATTTATATAGACTAATATTTTATATAACATATGTTCATAATTTAACATATTTAATCCCTCTATTAATCACATTATTTCTATTTCATAAGCTTTGCAATAACCAGATTCTTGATAAATGTTTGTGAATTTTATTTCTTTATATTTTTTTTTGTATGTTTGCGCGAGATGTTAAAGGTGTGTTTGCATGCAGTGAGTTTATATGTATGTGCGTGTGTTAATGTGGGTGTATTCATGCGTCAAGTTCATATTGTAGCGAGGCAAAGGGAAAACACAAACACAGTTAGCTGGTGTTACAAACAATGCCCCGGAGGGTGCTTTATTTACAAGTGAAAAGGGGGTGAATGAGTGCTCTTCTTAAGGGTGCGTGCTCAAGTGCTCCGGGGAGATGGTGAAGACTGGTGAGAGTTCTGGTGTTGGATCGGTCACGAGCTGGATTCGGCTGTGGGAGAGACAGAGAGAGACAAGCGTTAGCACAGGGAGTCATGTGCAAATGAAGCTCCCTTTCCTCCTGTGTGGGGCTGGCTTTTATCTCTCCCTGGCTGATGAGGTCCAGCTGTGAGCGATCCGGTGCTGATGAGTTTCCAGCTGGGGTGAATTTGTGACCTGGGCGACGTGGTAACAGCAGACTCGCTACAATATGTATATACACAAGTTTCATCCATGTTGTTTTGAACATTCAGTAGTATAGGTGTATATGCGAGTAATTTATAGGTGTATATACACGTGTTTTATGTATGTGTTGATAAGCAAAGTTTGATTTAAATCCTATACGGCACCTCATAACCATGAGCTCCTTGTCTAAATTCCAGACGGCAATTCCTATACGGCACCTCATAGCCATGAGCTCCTTGTGTAAATTCCAGCATGGAGACTGGCTGTCTGTACCGGCGGGTACAATGTGACGTCTTTGAGCTTTCATCATTAATTCAAGAGAAAGACGAACCAATCAGCGCGCTCTATTGTGAATGAGGTGCAACTTTATTAATATGCATGATAGCTTCAAAAACTACCTGTTACAGTATTCAGAGAGACGCCACGTTGTGTTGCTAACCGTAAATAAAATATGTGGAAGAAGAGGAATTGTTCAGAGACATGGGTCGTCAGTGTTGTTTATAAACGTGCCACAACAAAGGTTTTGTTTTCATTTCCCCGCGATGAGAAAGGACCCACATTTGTGGACTACAGGGGTCTTCTAACACGCAACAAAATTATGTTTGTAAGGAACATTTTTACCCGAGAACTTTTTGTATGTATAAATGGTGAAATCCAGATTTGCCACTCGTCTTCTTATAAAAAAAATCGCAAATCCAGTTCGTGTTGATTGTCCTTTCTCTATGGATTTGGTAAGTAAGCAATCGGTGTTCGTTGTTATTCAGATGGCGAAGTAGGCCATTAAAACTACACTCTTCTAGCAGTTCCTCGGATCCAATATGTCGTTTGTCATGGGGAGCACGCATGAAATGTTCTTGAATGAAAATGAAAGTGCCAAACTGCAGTTAAAGTCGACAAATTAAGAATGAAACTCCCCAAAATTACATGACACTCCGGAGGAAACGTGGATAGCGTGGTGACACAATGACGTTAATCGTATTATGTGCTTTAACATGTAAAACGGGATCATGAAAGGAACATTCTAAAAGCAACTCATGTAAACACCTTAATCATATTGGTGTTTTAATCAGATTAAGGCAAATAGTTAGATTACTGATGTCCACAAAATCATTGCTTTATCTGTTAAACAGACAAGTGAAACACAAACTACTCTTTTGTCTTCATTTGGAATAAAAATTCCAAGTAACTCAACACAAGCAAAGGCAATTGTAGGCATAATAGTAGGAGTATTAGGGTAGGAGTATTTATAGCTACAGACATGCAACCTTTTTCAGGGGTAGAAAAGTCCGGTTTTAGGCATTTATTTAGTGTGCTAGAACCACACTACGAAATCCCAAGTAGAACGTATCTCACAGCTACGGTGGTACCCTCCTTGTACAATAATGTGAAGGAGAAAGTTATCAGTGCACATTTAGTAGTTGACTACAGATTGCTGGACCTTCAGAGCAACACAGAGCTTCATGACTGTCATATTAAGAACGTGAATTGTTTTCAAATGTTCATCAATATTGTATTGTACTGGCCATACTCTAGCCTTATGTAATAAACTGATGTGTCATGTTTGTACTCTTCAGGATGGTGAGGTCATCGGCATTAATACCATGAAAGTGACAGCAGGGATTTCCTTCGCTATTCCCTCAGACAGAGTCCGTCTCTTCCTAGACCGATCTGCAGACAAACAGAGTAAGAATGACCTTACAGCTGCTTGCTTTTGTCTGTGACAGCATTTTTTTCACTGACAGATGGTTATTGGGTCTTTTTTTCAGACTCTTGGTTTGGAGAATCGGGATCGAAAAGGCGTTACATTGGAGTGATGATGTTGACTTTGACCCCCAGGTGCCAAACACTTTTATTACAATTTTACAGGAGAGCAAAATTCATACATTATGGAATCTACAGATTTTTGTTATATACCACTAGATTTGGCTCTTAGAAATTCATGTGCTGGAATACCTGGAAAATTAGCTTGTTCTGTTGAAAAGTGCTTAATTTATCAAGGAGAATTTGTATGCAATTTTCACGCCTGAAAAATAAAAATGTTTGTAAATTTTTGTGACAATTTAATGCAAAAATACCCGCACAATCTACCTTGATTCCGAAGCAGTGATTTAAATGATATGAGAAGTGGCCAATCACAGTCAACCTTGTTTAGTTTTACCTGAAATGTAAGAGAAATGTAAGAATCAATCAATCAATCTATCTATAAATCTATCTATCTATCTTATCTATTTATTAATCAATCCTTAAACCGTAAAGTCTTTTATTATCTTTAAATTCTCTTTTTCCCCTCCTCAGTATAATCGAAGAGCTAAGGATGCGAGACCCGTCCTTCCCTGATGTTTCTCATGGAGTTCTCATCCACCGTGTGATTGTAGGATCTCCAGCCAACAGGTGTGCTGCTCTCTGAACATGATGTTATCAGCTGTTGATTAAGGCATCCTATTGATGATGTCATTTCCTGTTTTCTGTTTTGCAGAGCCGGAATGAAGCCAGGAGATGTTAATATTGAGATTAAGGGGGTAAAGGTGAACACGTCAGAGGAGATATATAATGCTGTGAGGACCAGCGAAAGCTTAAATGTGGTGGTCCGCCGGGGGGCCGACCTGCTCATGCTGCACATGACCCCAGAGTCCACAGAGTGACATCAAGTCAAGTATTTAGTAAGATTAAGAAATGGTGAGTAATGAGAAGCTGTCATAGTTGGAGATGTTGTAAGAAAGGAATCATCTAAAGAGTTGAACAGTTTTAGCAAACGCTGGACATTCGTGTAGTAAACGTGTTTCTGGAAGCGTATGAAATAATGTGGATGATTCAGACTTCTGTACACTGGATAAACCTCAGTGTGTCTGCGCAAACTACACTATCAGTATTGATTTGAAGGAATATCACTGAATATTTTGTTTAGGATTGTCATGATGGCAACAAACACTCAACGACCTTAATAAAACTGGGTGCTCTTATTGTGAAAATGCTGATGTTTTGTATTGAGTCTCACATTCTCATGTTACGACGTTTGTATTTTAATACATTTTTCTGAACAGCTCTGATTTCACAATAAACCATTGGAATATTTATGGATGATTTGCTTATGTCGCAGTGACTGATATGTTTAGGTTTTGGGTCAGCGCTGTACAGCATTCTGAAAAAGTGTATTTCTAAAAGTGCGCCGTAATGACGCCAGTGTCAACTGCAGTGTGTGTTGGAAAGGACTGGATGCTGTTCAAACCTCATGCCAAATTTTTGTCACCCCATACAAAACCAGTTTATATCCACACAATCTGACAACACTGGGGCTAGATCACAATATAAGCCACAACACAAGTGAGTTCAATAAAATATATCTTTATTACAGACATGTACAAAAATCAAATATACAAAACATTCTGCTAATGTGACTCAGAACTCCAGCATGGACCAGTCGTGGTAAGGCATCTCTTCTAGAGGAATTCTGCACTCTGGATTCTCATGCAGACAAGCCCTCATCATATCACAGCATTCTGTGAAGAAGAAATGGAGAGGTGAGGTTATTGTTATTATTATTGTTAAGCTGTTTCACTTAATTGTTCTTTGATGAACATCTCACCTTGAGAGAGGGTAAATTTGGACCAGTCATGTTGGAGGTAGTACAGGTCATACGCTGATGGGAATTCTCCATGGAGCATTGTGAACAGAAGAACCCCAAGAGAATAGACCGTCGCTGGTTTGGCCCGGTAGCATCCTTTTTCATAAAACTCTGGCGGGATGTACGCTTCTGTGCCTGGAGGAGAGACGTTTAGTTTAGCATCATGTTGAATATATATACCAGATGGGCTTCAGCTGTGCTAATTAACCAGCTTTCAATACGTATATTAATAATGCATATGCACATTCATAACTAGTGTTGTCAAAAGTATCAACTACCAATCGATACCGACACTCATCACAGTCATATTTGCTGAGCATGTGAACACCAATGGCCAATCAGTGGTGTTTAACAGCGCTCAAATTGACTTGTTAAATGTCAGAATCGATTGGTACCGAAGTCGATACTTTTGACCACACTATTCAAAACACCTACCAGAGAAGAGACTGTAGGCTGATTCCATCATGAAGTCTCCACACCCGAAGTCGATCAGCTTGACTTCCAGTGTGTCGGGGTTCACCAGCAGGTTTTGAAGCTTAATGTCCCGGTGGAACACCCCGCGGTAACAGCACACGTTGGCCGCATAAACAGCTTGCCTCATGATGGTATGTGCTGTTTTCTCACTGAGGACTCCACCGCTGACTTCAAGGAATGCCTCCAGGTCCATGCTTGGACTAGGCCGCTCCATCACCATGACATAATGGTTTTTAAAGACCTGCCAGTCCAGGAGCTTAATAATATTCGGACACCTGGAGCCACCGCTGGCCATGTTTGCCAAGGTGATCTCTAGAGGAAGCGGCTGGTCACATGACTGAAAACAAAATAATAATGTTGGTTTTCAAACAAGGGTTTCTGACCACAGCCTGTGGTCTATAATAAATATAAGACTTTATAAACTGAACACAGCGAACAGAAAGTGTAGTCTACTCACAGAGCTGACATCTTGCATATTTGGGGTCTTCTGGACAAATTTAACTGCCACCTGTTTAAAGGAACAAGCCAACAATTAACATGTGCACGGAGATCATTTCATTCAGTCATAAATCCTGAACAGAGGATTCATTCGTCAGCAGAAATGTCCAAACAATGAAAGCTCTGATGATGTTCTTTAAACAGGGAACTTCATCAGAGGATTTGAGTCTACAAAAATGAATACCTGCAGACCATCCTGTATGCGAATCCCCTCATACACGGAGCCGAAACCTCCTTCACCAAGCTGCTTTCCGAGTTTGTAGCGGCAGCTGATGTCATCTGTTAAAAATGAAGAAAATGTCATTAAATTATAAACCAAATAAAAACACAAACAGTTGAAGTCAGAATTATTGTCAGATTTCAGAACATGATAGTTTTAATAACTCATTTCTAATAACTGATGTCTTTTATCTTTGTCGTGATGACAGTACATCATATTTACTGGATATTTTCAAGATACCAGAGTTCAGCTTAAAGTTCTGAATACTTAAACTTTATTGCTCTGCATCATTTGGGAAATATTTAAAAAATATTAATAAAAAATCACAGGAGGGTGAATAATTTTGACTTCAACTGTATAATTTTACAAAGTTTGATGAGCCTAAACAAATGTTCTGAACTCCAGCAATAAACTTACTATTGTCCAAGCAGGTCCCATCATCTGCTGTACACTTCACAGCAGAGTCCTCTTGTGAGACCTGATCCGGTAAAGGGTTCCAGTTTTCATCCAGGGCAGAGTCACAGATGTCATCTGTTATGAGCTGCTGGCTCACTGGAGATTCATTGTCCTCATCGGATGGTGAACTTGGAGGACTATCAAGCTCTTGCTCCAGGCTGTCCTCACTGAGGGAGGATTTGTTGTCTGCTGGGAAGTGAAGCTCTGCAGAGTCGTTCTCAATGACCACTGCAGAGTCAAAGCTGTTCACTTCCGGTTTAGAGTCTAAATCTTCGTCTGCTGGAGCATCAAGAGCTGGAGGTTGGAGAACTTCCAGCTCCAGGTTGCTCACAGCAGTGCAGAAGAATTTAGAGCTACTGATGGGCTCTGCGTGAAGTTCGTGGATCTCCTGCACACATAGCTGATCTAAAGAGAGGAAGGAACATCATTAATATGACTCTACAACTCTTTTTGACAAGATATTTGAACAGTTCATTTGCAGAAACATTACTCAATGTGTTTTTATTGATGATCTTCATGGGTTTTCTGCATTGAATTAGCAAACAAGTAAACTATATATCTAAAGGCAAAGCTCACTGAAATAAAAAATCCTAATACAAATAATTCTTATTTTTTCTGTTTTTTACACAAAACTACAAATTCTGAAGAAAATTCCTGAAATCAGCAGCCATTAACCTTCATTGTAGGAACACAAAATACTGTGGAAGTCAATGGCTGAAAGCACCTCAAACAGGTTTAAGGAGTAAATTATGACAGAATTGTCTTGTTTATGTGAACTGTGGCTTTAAGAAACTCTTTCTAAAATGTCTTCCAGTTAATGTTCATTTCTGATCTTTAAACACTTATGTGATGTGTTTGGTGTGTTTAACAGTATGCTTTAGTAATTAAAAGTGCTCATAAATCTATTTTACCATCAACAGTAGCTCTTCTTCTGGAAAAACAGGTGAAGAAGATGGGAGACAATTTGAGTTTCCTCTTTTTCTGTCTCCCTGCCTGTTTTCCTGCAGCGACGGCCGGGTCATCGGTCATCAGATGACGGTGATTCTCTGTCGTGCTGCCGGTGGGTTCGAGTGGCTCACACGGTTGTTCGTTCGCACACTTAACACCAAACGCTTTCTTCAGACGGTTAATCAGTTTTGAAAATGCCATTTTATCACTGTACTGTTGAATCGCAGAAAGTACTGAACTACTAGACATCCAAAGAAGCTAATGAGAGTTTCTGCTACGTCAAAAGCTTTTTACTGTCACTGATGATGTCAGAGTTCCACAGTTCCATTTGGTATGACGTAGAGACTTTTTAAAACACAACAAACTTCTAATGCAGGCCCGCGCTAGACTGACTGGCTCATTCGCCTTAATGTGCTCACACAGCCACCTGCTTATATACACATTTTTTTCCAATTATTAATTCATTTATTTTTGCACTTAGGCCTATATATTTTTTCTGTCATGCACAACTTTTTCTGCGTTTTGCTTTTTATTACAATTATTACCATGTTTATATATATTTATACGCGTGTGTGTGTGTGTGTGTGTGTGTGTGTGTGTGTGTGTGTGTGTGTGTGTGTGTGTGTGTGTGTGTGTGTGTGATTCATTTATTTTGAGTAGCTCATTTCGGTTATTTTATATTTTCATTATCAATTATTTATAACTTTTAACTGTATTATTATTATCATTTATATTATATTTTATATATTATGATTATATAAATTCGTTATTCTTGTGAATTCTTTTTAAATGATTAATGCTTCAAATAATAAATTAAAAAGAAAAATATGCAACAAAATGAAGTTATCCATATTACCTGAAACCGCCAGTAGGTGGTGGTAGGACACTGTCTTAAGTGAATAAGACATTTATTCAGCAACAAAGCAACTGTTGTATATATGAATAGGTCAAGGATGAATCGACTCTCACAATTTATTTAAATCCACAGATTCATTCACAAAAATAACCCACTCTAGCCTAAATAAGGACTGAACCGATGTGAACGCTAACAGGTAGGAATAATGATCAAATTTTTGTGGATTAAACATCTTTGATGACATTAATTGCAGTAGATTTTGTTAAGTTACAACTAAAGGTAGGAAATGGTTTTAATTGTGGACTGTACTTATTTTATGTGTGAACATGCTACATGCTAACACCGTCACAGCATTCCAGTCAACTAATTTAGAGCTACTAACGTTAGTCAACTGTCCCCGCCTTCACTAAGTGAAAAATGCGAATTAAAAAGAAAAAATAACATAAATAAAATAAATAATTACAAATTAAACCAATGAATATTTAAGTCAGTGTAAATAGATCTAACGTTTATTACTGTATGTCACAGGCAAGTAGCGCTAATTAGCATTTGATGCTAATGCTAACATTGATGCAACTTAATGTAATATATTAATGTTATATTAACGGTACTGTAACTTTAACTAATTATTGTTTTACTTAAAAGCTCGATCAAACCTTTAACATTAACATCAGTCAGATTAATTGCTATTTGAGTGATTCTGTTACAATTAACTTACATTTGTTTCTGTCTAGTTAACTGTAGGAACTATAACATACAGTGAGAGGAATTATTTAGTTTTATATTACAGAAACTCGATATTTCTTTTCTATATTTTTGTTAGGCCACAGTTTGAAATGCCATTCTGCAGGCTGAAATGGCATATTTAACACAATTAACCACGGCTTTACTACAATAATACAGTCAGGTTTATTTTGTGTGGATAAATGTAAGCTTACTTTAGTAAAACTATGTTTTTGTCTTATTGGCTAAATGGGCTCATGAAAGTGTTTCACATAGAAATGAATAAATAATAATTAATAATAATAATTCCTTACATTTATATAGCACGTTTCCTGCACACTCAAAGTGCTTTACGCATTGGTGGAACATGTTTCCCGAAAGCCATTTTGAAATGGAAACAATATTTTTCTTTCCCATTTATCGATGATATTTGGTCAACAATACATTTTTACGCCCAAATCAGGTAGAAGAAATTCATTTCAAAATATTACACAGGTACTACTATCCCTGCAAAATATTTAATAATAAATAATAATAATAATAAAAAAATCACAAAAATGTTCTCTTTGTACTTGTAAATTTTCTGATGATTTTTGGAAACAGGTTTCAGGGTTGATTTTTGATTAATTTGGAGATATGCTGTAGAGAGAGGAATCATTAAAAGGCCAGAAGTAAAAATTCTGTCGTCATTTACTCCAAACTTGCTTGCGTTCTTGTGATATTTTGAGAAGTCAGTGGTCCCTCACTGATTATAAAACACACACACACACGCACACACACACACACACACACACACACACACACACATTTTGAGTCTCTATGCAGTTACATTGACTGTAATTTAAGTTATGAAAGGAAACAATATACTTTTTTTTGTTTTATATTAATTTTGACGTATTTAAAGGAAGACTTTTTGGCAAATAGGCTAATTTTTCAAGTCACTCAGAGTTAAACTGTTGAGTTTAATCATTTTAATCCGTTCAGCTGATCTCTGGGTCTAACAAATAGTCCAAAATCCTTGATTATTACTCCAGAATGAGAGTATAGCAAAGATTTTAGAATACACATGACGTGTCACTCGTATACTTTTGAATGGGAAAAGTGAAGCAGTCATTATGGCGAATAAAGCCCCACCTTCTAGTACAGGAGCCAATCAGTGATTGATATATGGCAAATAAAGCCCACCTTTTAGTACATGAGTCAATCAGCAATCAGTATAGAATGACAATTCTCCAGGGGAGGGGCTTAGACTAGATGTGAGTTTCTGCAGATATTGTGTGATACGGACATTTATAAATGAAACTAAAAGGACAGTTACTGTTCAATTTTATTGGTTATTCATAGTATGTAATGTAATCGTAATCTTGGCAAGCAGTTTTGAAGAATTTACCCATTCAAATAGAATGCCCATGTATACTTCCCGAGAGGCAGGGCTGGACTGGGGCAAAAAATCGGCCCTGGCATTTTGGGCCAGAGCGGCCCACTAAATTCAATCAAAATGCTATGTATCTATGCACCTCCAATATTTTTATCAA